GGCGACGACCCCTCCACGTGACAGGCGCGCTCTCTCCGCGGCCCACGTCGTCTCCTCGCCAGGTCCTGGGAGCCGGTCGTCCTGGCGCTGGTGGGCACGCCGGGCCGTGGGGAGGCGTTGGACGGTCCAGCCGCGGGGCCGGAGGCCGAGTCGGCCCTGGGCTTCCGAACTCGCAGCACCCTCTGGGGTGGAGACCGTGAGACCCACCTGTCCCGCTGGGGACCATAAGCTTTGCCTCCCGTCGACGGTTCCTCTGGGCAGGGGTTTCCCGGGCTGCGGGGATGGGAACTTATGAATGCTGGCCAGAGGCCGCCCTATCCTGTCCCCTCCTCCCTCCAGCGCCTCACAGCCTCCCTGTTTCTAAGCTGCTCCACACACACCTGCCCCACCTCGACACTTGAGCCATGAACTCACTGAGATGATAATCTTTGCCCGCCCAGCTCTGTGGCCCTACCCAGAATGACAGGGACACGAGATTTGTACCCCTCCCTCTCAAGCCTTTACCCTGTGAAAGTTTGATGGGTGGTGTCATTTTTCTCTTCCACCGTGCTCAGCTGTAAGAACATGGCCCACTTACTAAACTGATTTTCTGCCCTGCTGGTCGATTCATCATGTGGTCCTTAACACAGGCAGGGGAGGAGGTGCCCACTGCCTGATTAGCAAAACCAAGCCCTTAGTGAGGTGCACGAGTGTGTTTCCCATAAGACTGGCCCTGCTAGCTCTTCTTGGTCTGTAATGCTGGCTGAATACAATACCTTCATGGTACCACTAGCCAGCCTTGCTGTCTTATGCTTAGTTACCTTTCCTTCTTATCTCCCTTGTCCTTGGGCAGGGGAAGAAGCTGAGACAAGTAGAAGAGTGTTTCCTCCTCAGGCCACAAAGCAGGTACTCTCTGCAGCATCAGGCAGGAAGCAGACTCGGCTCCCTTCTTTCCTTTACAGTTACATCAGTTCTCACTCGTGATTCCACCCACACAGTTCACATCTGATTGTCGAGATTTCGTGGCGTAAGGAAAAAAGGGTTGGGTAAGACACTGAGAGGCAGA